ACGACGACGTATTACTGCTGCTGCTGCCGTATAGTAGTAGTAGTAGTAGTAGTAGTAGTAGTAGCAGGAGCAGTAGTAGTAGTAGTAGTAGTAGTAGTAGTAGCAGTAGTAGTAGTAGCAGCAGTAGTTGTAGTAGTAGTAATTTCTTATGGGGCCTCTAGGGATGTGCTTCTGCGATGCGATGAGCCCAGAAGGCCAGGCTTCTCTGCAGATTCCATAACCGGTCACGCATGTAACTAGGGTTTAGGGTTTAGTGCAGGGCTTCCAACAATGGCCCCAAAACTATCGTGCGCTTGCATCTTTGGCGCAGGGTGTCAGAAACTCTTGGCTTAGACTTTATGGCCCGAAATTTCCTAAGTACCGCCCTGGGGATATTTTCCCAAATCATGATAGTAGTTCCAAATATAAATTAGGACTAGGTTCCTGAGTAGTACAATTTTGCCTTTTTTCCTTTCGGATCCCTTTAGTCAAACCGAATCGTAGGAAAAAGGCCTAAACCCTAAACACTAAACCCCTAAACCCCTAAACCCCTAACCCCTAACCCCTAACCCCTAAATCCTAAACCCTAAACCCTAAACCCTAAACCTTATCATAAAGGGGCTACTCAGACACCTGGAGGATGCATTGGGTGGTTGGGAGGTTGAACGTCTTCATTCCCCAGAGGCTCCATATATACGACCATTATGGAATTAGGTCCCGAAAGCCATAATAAGTATGGTCCCTTGGGACTTAATTCCATAATGGGAGTGTATACGTCTTCATTACCCTAAGGGTCCATGTGCCCAAATAGATATACTTTCGGCCTTAAAGTAGTCCCTATATAAATACTTTGGGGCCAATGTATATGCAGGCTTATATTCTACACCAGCGCGGAGACAACCCAAGTTTGCATTAATCCGCGTGCTCGTTCCAATGTCAAACCTCCAACGTAGGCTTTTCGAATTCTCGAGACTTCGTGCAAACAGGTCCTCCAGTTTTCGGTTTGGCTGGATTTTGAAGAGTTTGGCTTGGGATCCAGGAATTACCTGGACCCTTAAGAACCTCCCTTTTTAAGGTTCCTTATTATGACTTCCTTATATAGGAGGTAGTAAGCGACCTACCCCAAATTGAGCCACAGGCCTCTATGTTATGCTGTTAGCTAGTTTGTGCGTGGCGCTTTGGGATCTATAGGTTTGCAATTTCATAGGGGCTGAGTATAAGTAACCTTTAACCTTTTCGGGGCTTGTAGAACCCTACTATAATTCAAAAGGTTAACCTCTTTTTGGCTAGGGTACTGAGCCCGTAAGCATTTCATGCAGGAGAAGATGTGGACAGGCAGAGTATTGCTGAGTTCGTCTACGACACGACCGCCGGAAAAGCGACTTTCCCGAACCAGCCTCGCCTGCCTTTTAGGGGCTAATATGATATTAGAGACCCAAGTAGTTACCAATAGTATTTTGGGGGGTCCTTATCATAACTATAGTATAATATAGACTTAAAATATAATTACCAATAGTTGAGACGTGTCGGAGCTTTGAGACCCCAATACTATTTGGGACGTTGGGTGGGGGTGGGTGGGGGGGGATCCTCGTTATAATTATAGTGTGATATACCTCGAAACCCTGATCGAAGTATTGAGGCCCCTCTATTGGAGGTGTGGGTTTGTGCGAACGTATTAGTTGCATAGTTGTGCAATCAGTTGCTCAGGTCTGTGTGCATATACATATACATTGTTCTCGATCGCGTCGTTGTGTCCATATATATATATATATACTACTACTAAACATACATATGTATATATATATACACACACACACGCACGCATACATACATGCATGCATACATACATATGTACATGCATGAACGTGTGCGTATGTACGTATGTATGTGTATATATATATATACATTTATTTATTTATTTACTTATTTGTTTATTTTTTATGTATTTATTTATTGGTATTTATATTTATTGATTTATGCATGTGCGCCTACGACTGCATGTATACGTACGCACATGTAGTTTATGCCTATGCCTGTATGCAAGTATGGTTGTACGTTTGCTTGTGTGTTTGTTTGTTTGATTGATTGAACGATTCGTTGAACGGTTTATTGATTGAGTCATTAAGTCATTGTTTGTTTGTTTGTTTGCTTACTTGCTTGTTTCGTGTGGTTGCTTGATTGTTTGCCGTTAAAGATGCAATATTTCTGTCACACATACACACAAACACACACACACACACTCACACACACACACACTGACACTGAGTCAAACACTCACGCAGTCAGTCACTGAGTCACCCGCTCACTCACTAACTCACTAGCTCACTCACTCTCGCTTCGCCTGGCCCTCTCTCTCTCTCTCCTTGTCTCTCTCTCTCTCTCTGTCTCCCTCTCTTTGAGGATGAGGGTTCAGTATACCTGGAAGGGTCAAAAGCCGCCCCAAGCCCCAAAGTATGCCCCTGCCAAAACCTTCCAATTTGTCCACCCTACAAGGTCCCCTTAAGGGCGTAAGAGCCACTGGGTTTAGGGTTTTCGGGTTTAGGGTTTAGTAAATCTAGTAAGGGTCCACGTCCAGGGAAAGGAGACGGACGAAAGTGACCAGTTCAAGGCCATCCAGGAGGCCAGGCATAGAGTTAGGGTTCAGGGTTTATGGTTTGGGGTGATCAAAAGCTGTTCCATGGGGTTACCCTCAGGGTCCAAGTACCCAATATCCATATACTCTCCCAAATATTGACCTGCATAAACACTATCCGCAGCCAAAGTACCTTATTGTGGGGTCCCTTGGACCCTTAAACGCTTCTTCAGCAACCCTACAAATCCCTCTAGATTCCTTAAGGAATCCTTGTAGAACCTCTTATATCATAGGGTCCTTTGGACCCTTAGGCCCCTAGGGTTTGGGATGGTTTGGGGTTAAACCCTTACGCCCTACACTCGACTCGACAGGGGCCTGGCGTGTGGGGTCGGTTTCGCGTTCAGAGTTTAGGGCTTCGGGTTGGGCACGGCTTAGCTGGCCTAGGGTTCAGGGTTTAGGGTTTAGGGTCTCCACATAACCTACCTTTCTAATGACTTCTATCAAGAACTCATAATAAGGTGGATTCTGTGGGGTTCAGGTACCTGTGACACCAAGCCCTACAACATAGTGATCCCTTACCCTAAGGGTCCATGTACCCAGATAGATATACTTGGGCCTGAAAGTAGTCCCTATTTTTAAGTACTTTGGGGCCAATGTAAAAGGATCCCTGTATACCCTTAGGGTTAATTAGAGGGTAGAGCCCTAAAAGCGGTAGGTTTCTTCGGGTCCAGGTATGGCCTGGCAAAGCGCAAAGAACTGACGCACCACCGACCCCTCAAAAGCCTAAACCCTAAACCCTAGACCCTAGACACTAGACTCTAAACCCTAAACCCTAAGCCCTAAACCCTAAACCCTAAACCCTCAAAGCCAAAGCAAAGACTGGCGCAGGTCATTGTCACCATCCCTGCGCCCCCCAAAAAAGGCCCTAAGCCCTAAAGCCCTAATGTAGGGGCCTAAATAAGACTTTCCATACCATTTTAGGGGTTCCTTTTTAGAATTATGGTATAACGGCCCGAAAGCCTGTTCTAACTATGAATTAAGGTCCCTATATTAAACCTTAAACCCTGAATCCCTAAGCCGCAAACCCCCAAACCCTAAACCCTAAACCCCGAAACCCAAAGCCTTAAAGCCCCCAACCCTAGACTCACACAGGTCATTTTCACCTTCCCTGAACCCCCGAAATGCCTAAAACCCTAAACCCTAAAGCCCTAAGCCCTAAAACCCTACACCCTAAAACCCTAGAGCCCTAAACCCTAAATTAAACACCCAAGCCCTAAACTCGCGCAGGTGATTCTGACCATCACCAAGCAGGACTTCACTCGCCTTCGCGGCCTTGCGCAGAAGCTTGTCAGGCGTCCGACGGTCCGAACTGGTTTAGGGTTCAGGGTTTAGCAGTCCCGAAGGGTACCTGCATCTACGTTTAGAAGTATGGGCCCCGAATATGGACCCTTAGGCCCCTTCTAAGGACCCTTAAGGGTACACATAGGGTATATAGTAGCTTCAACCTTGGACTGCACAGTAGACTGTATTGTCTCCATAAGGAAAATCAATAAAATATGGCTTTGCGAAAGTATTCCCGGCTTCGTACGGGTGCGTTGTTGGAAGTAGTTTTGGGGGTTGCCTGGCTTGATAGGGCTTCGTGTGTTTATAGGGACGTCTGAGGGTGATTGAAGGACTTTTCGGAGATATGTCGTGCACTAGAATCTGACCATGGGGTTTGTACATGTCTCTCTTCCGGGTTGTTGAGGTGATTCTTACAGATAGGGTTTAAGGGTTTAGGGTTTAGGGTTTAAGGTTTAGGGTTTAAGGGTTTAGGGTTTAAGGGTTTAGGGTATCATGATTAGTCTGTTGTTCATGGTAAGAATGCTTTTCGACTTGATTGGGCTTTGCTTGGTTTCTAATGGGTTTTATGAGCATGACCGGTGGCGGGGTTCAACCCTGTTATGGTAGGGCAAACTGTGTTTTATGTGGCGTGCTAACGGGTTTAACAGTGGTCTTTGTAGGGCTTTAGATGCTGGAAAACCATGTGGGTGGTTGTCAAAATTATGGTCCCTTTTTGGGTCCCTGATATAATACGGCACCTGATATCTAGGGTACCCAAAAAGGGACCCTAATTTTGACAACCACCCATGTGGCTGTATGTAGGGAGAATGTTGTGCACGCTGATCTGTGTTCGGGCTGCTGCTGTCGTTCTTCCCTGCGTTTGGAAACCTGGAGTTTTGCTGATGCTGGCTTGGGAACCATGGTAGCCGCGATGCCAAAGCTGTTAAGTTCTATGAATTAAAAGCACAATCCGAAAAGCTTCAAACCCCCACAAATCTCCCCCTGCAAGCCATTCTAACATCTCCATAGAACCTTAGCAAATTGTGCGAGGTCCATACGGTTGTCGTGAATGCCTATACGAACACATCCTGTCTCCAAACATCCCAGGTCCAAACCCCTCGCGAAACCAACTCCAGACACAAGAGCGTAAGCTCTCAGCCTCAAATGAACCTACAAATGCCTTGGACGCCAAAACAGAAGGCCAAAAGCCACTGTAAAGCCAAGGCAGCACACTGAACACGAGGAAAACAAAGCCCCGAAAGCCGCGGCAAGTCAACTCTGACCAGCAGTAACTAGGAAACACTGACGACGTTGATTCCCTGCAGCTGTAAACCCTAAACCCAACGTAGTACCTTGAAGACCACATTACCCTGAAAAGCAGGGGCCTTATTCCCGTATACTATGAATCCCTAGACGGTATATGAACCTTACACCCTTTTAGGCTTCATTTCGCCCCTAAGGAAGTACAAACTCCAGAATAGTGTCGTGTTGTCCAGGTACGACCGCTTCCCAGCGGAGGATCAGAAAGCAAAGGCTAAGAAGGGTCCGCAGATGGAGATGGAGTATGAGCTACCCGGATTGAGTATCCCAGAAGCTCCATATAGTTTAGGGTTTAGGGTGTCATATCTACTACCATTATGGAGTTAGGTCCTTAAAGCCATAATAAGTATGGTCTTTTGGGACTTCATTCCATAATGGTATTATTTATGGAGCCTCTGGCGCCTAAGCCCTAAACCCTAAACCCTAAAATCCCGAAAGGAACTCTTATAGATACCTTTAAGTCTATGTGGAGCCTCTAGGAATTAGGTCCCTTATGGAGCAACCCTAAACCCTAAACCCTAAATCCTAAACCCTGAACCCTAGAGCCTCTAGGAATTGTGGTGATGGCTTCAGGCATAGAGTCTGCAGCCTACTTTCACATGCAGCTCCAGTGTCTTCCGGGTTTAACCCGTAGCGTTCCTAAAAGGGTTTAGGGTTTAGGGTTTAGGAATAGAGTTGAGCGTTTAGGGTTTAGGGTTTAGTGTCTATTTTGTAGGGATCCTAGAAGGGCTTCCATTCATCCTTAAGGTAAGCCTTAAACTCCAAACGCCCAAAGCCCTGAAAGCTTTAAAACCTTTTAGGGCTAATTTCGTCCTTAAGGTTCGTAGCTAGCTCGGAGGCTCCAAAAATACTACTACCATGGACCGAGGCCTTAAAACCAGAATGAGGATGGCCTTTTGGGAACTAATTCGATAATGGTGGTTTGTTTGAAGCCTTTGGAGTAGGGTTTAGGGCAAGATCTCTGGGATCCCTAAACCCTAAACCCTAAACCCCTAAACCCTAAACCCCTAAACCCTAAACCCTATACCCTAAACCCCTAAACCCTAAACCCCTAAACCCCTAAACCCTAAACTAAACCCGGAAGCTCGAGAAGACCAGTCTTCCCAGGTCAGCCTGGGTTTTTGTCTGGCAAGTGGCTCTAGTACAGGGTTTACGGTTTAGGGTTTAGGGTTTAGGGTTTTAGGGTTTACGGTCTAGGGTTTAGGGCTTAGGGTTTAGGGTTTAGGGTTTACGGTCTCGGGCCTGGCGCAAAAGCCTTTATGTTTTGAGATATTTCCTAGAGGCTCCATATATACTACCATTATGGAATTAGGTCCCAAAAGACCATAAGCATTATGGCTTTAGGGACCTCATTCCATAGTGGTAGTCTATGTGGAGCCTCTGGGTTTAGGTTCCCTCACTATGATGTCCTTGCCGGTGTCCTTACAATCGACGTGTCTTTGGTGCTACAGGGAAGGGTTGGGCGACCCAAAATCCAAGCAAACGAGCTCGACTCAAACTCCAAACCCGAAGCCCGAAACTTTCTCCCTGGCCTCCAGTCACCCTAAACCCTGCCTTAAGGGTCCAAGTACCTAATAATCATATACTCTCCCAAATATCAACCTAGAAAACTAGTATCCGCAACCAAAGTATCTTGTTATTGGGTCCTTCGGACCCTTAGGGCTAAACCCTAAACCCTAAACCCCAAACCCTAAACCCTAAACCCTAAACCCTAAACCCTAAACCCTAAACTAGACCCTAAACCCTAAACCCTAATCCCTCAAACTGGAGCCGAGTTAAAGCCACCCCAAACCTCTCCCGATGGCTGATGGACAAGACAAGCCCCATCACTACCCGTAACAAGGTATGCACTACATTATAATATAGGGTTTAGGGTTTAGGGTTTAGGGAATATAGGCCTAAATAATTACCTGTGCTATTTTTTGGGGGGTTCCTTATGATAATTATAGTGTAATGGACCCCAAAACCCTATTGTAAGTATTTAGGCTCCTATATTTCCACATCTTTTGCAAAGTTTAGGATACATAGGGTGGCAAAAAATACCACCAGCTTCAGCCGTACCACCCAGGTTTGGATCAGAGCTTGATTTCGTCTATCCCTTGGAGGCCAATCGGGCACGCGGAGGTTAAGGATCTGATAAGGAGCTGAATGAAATTGACATGAGTTTTTGCGGTTTCGAGATTCGCTGAATTGGTTTACAGTTGATTCTGCGTATTTGTATATACATATATGCACATGTATGATTATGCATGTGTAGATGTGCTTGTATTTATGGATTGCCCCTAGACCCTCAACCCTAGATCCTAAACCCTAAATCCTAAACCCTAAATCCTAAAGCCTAAACCCTAAATGCTACACCCAAATCTTGAGCTGGTCTGCTTGAGGGTTGCGGACGACAAGAGAACCCCAAAGACCCTCCCTAGAGGGGGATGGGGGGAATGGGTGATAGCGATTACTATGAGGGACCTCAAGGGTTTAGGGTTTAAGGTTTAGGGTTAAGGCTTTAAGGTTCAGGGTTTAGGGTTTAAGGTTTAGGGTTTAGGCTTTAAGGTTCAGGGTTTAGGGTTTAAGGTTTAGGGTTTAGGCTTTAGGGTACCCTAAACTCTACGAAAAGGGTTATGTTTGAGGCACTCTTCTCGAATAGGTTGCAGAGAGAGACTTGGGAGGGGCGCGACTTACACCCTAAAGGCTAGACCCTTGGCTGTAAGGCTTCAGGTGTCGGCCTCAGGTGATCCGGGCCACATGAAACCCCAAAATGTGCCAAGGTTAAAATTTCGGGCTTAGCCCAGATTTCCCATATAGAACTCTCTCTCTCTCTCTATATATATATATATAGATAGATAGAGCCCTCAAACAAACCCCTATATACTCCACAAAAAAAATACCTTCATACAAACCCCTAAAGAACCCCAACAAAAAGAATTCCGGGCTCTTGTGGGAAGAGGCGGACTCGACGGCGGCCTGGCGTTTGACACCGGAGGCCGTGTGGGAGTTTAGGGTTTTGGGGGTTTGGGGTTTAGGGGTTCAGTAAGAGAGGTGAAATCCAACCACGTTCCAATCTTCGGGCACGACGATAGAAGTCTTAACCATACCTACAGAGACTTGGAGCGTCTGCTGGAAGACAGCCCAAAGTGCGAAGTCCACTGCAGTGACGCATTGGGGTTCTAGATTTGGGGTTTATGGTTTAACGGTCTTTGGGTTTAGGATTGAGGGGGAGTGAGGTTCTAGGTGTTTGGTTTAGGGTTTTAGGGTGTTTGGGTTGAGGGCTTAGGATTTAGGGTGAGTAATGTTCTAGGTCTAGGATTTTAGGGTCTTTGGGTTGCGGGTTTAGAGGTTTGGGGGGAGTAAAGTTCTAGGTTTAGGGTGCCGTACTATTTTGGAGACCTATAAAAAACCCTAAACCCTAAACCCTAGACCCAAAGCCCCTAAACCCTAAACCGTAACCCTAAACCGTACTATTTTGGGGACCGAAGAAATCTTCGGGTTTGAGGTTTGGAAGAAGTCTTAAGGCTTTGATGCCGCTAGACCTGAGGGGCCCTAGGTGCTTACATAGTCGACTGTAGAGTTTAGGGTTGAGGGTTTAGGGTTTAGGGTCTAGGGTTTAGGGTTTTGGTTTAGGGTTTATAGTGCAGGGTTTGGGAGTTTAGGGCTTAAGGGTTTTAATTTAGGGTTCATAGTGATAGGGTTTGGGGGTGTAGGGTTTAGGGTTATGATTTGGGAAATTCTCCCCGATAGAGGTACCACAAGGCCCAAATGACCCTGAACAGTCGGGGACCTATACCCTGATCCTATAAATCCCTGTCTCAGGTACCGAGGACCCCTTAAACCCCATTTTCTACCCCGAACCTATCAATCCCTGTTTCAGGTACCCAGGACCCTAATACCAAACATTAAACCCTAAACCCTAAACCCTAAACCCTAGACCCTAAACCCCTAAACCCTAAACCCTAAACCCCTAAACCCTTAAGAAACCTAGGACCCTTTTGGAAAAGCCTCCGTGGGAAGACTGAGATATGCCCCAAGGAGCCTGAGAAGGAGCCGATCGAGCAGCTCTTCTTCCACCAGGCCAAGGCGCGATGTTTCGGAGTTTAGGCTTTTAGGGTTTAGGGTTTAGGGGTTTAGGGTTTAGGGGTTCAGGGTTTAGGGGTTTAGGGGTTTAGGCGTTTCGGGATTTAACGAGCCCTGAGCCTTCAACCTCAAACAGGTTTTGGGGTAGGTTCCTGAGTAGTACCCTTTTGCCCTTGTTATTTTGGGGTCTCCTTATTAAAACCAAATACTAGGAAAAAGGGTACCCTTATTATTTAGGGGTCACTCAGGAGCATAGTTTGGGGTTTAGGGTTTTTCGGGTTTCAGGCTTAAGGTTTGGGGTTTAGGGAGGTATTTGTGTCACTACAGGCGAAAAAGTCAAGTGCATACCTCCACGCACCCTCAATTCCTAGCACGGGGGTGTTCCAAAGCTCGGAGTTCAATCAGATAATGAGGAACCCCCAAAACCCTAGTCTAATTATTAAACTAAGGCCCCTACATTACCCTTCACGAACACTTGGCGGCGGCTGCCTACACTACAGCCCAAAGACCCTAAACCCGAAACCCTAAACCCTAAATCCCCTAAAACCCGAAAACCCTAAACCCTAAACCCTAAAACCCTAAAACCCTAAACCCTAAATCCCCTAAAACCCTAAAACCCTAAACCCTAAATCCCCTAAAACCCTAAAACCCTAAACCCTAAAGGCCCAATACCCAAAGACCCTGAACCCGAAACCCAAAGCTGCAGCCCAAAGGCCCTGGCCCCGGATCCATCCTAGACCCTAAACCCTAAACCCTAAACCCTAAACCCTAAACCCTAAACCCTAAACCCTAAACCCTAAACCCTAAACCCTAAACCCGAATCCATCCCTGGAGGCCAGAGCCTGAACCCGTCTAGGGTTTGGGGACTAGGGCAAGTTTAGGGTTTAGGGGGTTTAGGGTTTAGGGTTCAGGGTTTAGGGTTTGTTTAGGATTTAGGGTTTAGGGTTAGTTGGGGGTCTAGGGTTTATAGGGTTTAAAAGGGTATCATGACATTCCCCAGTCAGCATATTGACTATAGTCTAATAAGATCACTCCAAGCCGTATTCAGGCCACTATACAGAGCCCTTGTAGTAAACCTTCTTAGTACCCATCTACTGGAGCCCTTCTTGATTTATGAAGGCCACTATATTAAATAGACTACCGTTGCGGCATTAGGTCCCAAAAGACCATCCGTATTGTGGTTCTAATGGTTTCATTCCATAATAGTAATATTAATATACATATATATATATATATATACATATATAGAGCCTCTAGGCTACAGCCTTGTGTTCAGGATTTTGTAACAGGAACCCTAAAGGAACCCTTATAGGAACCCTCCTAAACCCTACACCCTAAACCGTGTTATAGGAACCTTCTAGGAACCCTTATAGGAACCCGTGGAGGTCCCCCCCGCATTCTGCAGCACAGCCCACTTGCTAGCAAGAGGCATTAATTCGAGGAGGAGCTTCCGCAGTGCGGATCCCAGGGCTTATGGTTTAGGGGTATAGGGGTTTAGGGTTTGAAGGGTTTGAGGTTTATGGGTTTAGGGTTGAGGGGTATTGGGTCGAGAGGTTTGGGGTTTAGGGGACCTAGTAAGTAAGGTTTGAATTGGGGTTATAGGTGCCGTAAGTAGGGTTCTCTTAACCCTGACCTTATTGCTTAAAGCTCCTTACCACTTACTCAGGGTCCCATGAGCCTTGAAAAGTAGGCGCTAAACCCCCAAACCCACTCTATAGAATCCCCTAAGCTAAGCCCTAAACCCTAAACCCTTAAGGCTAAACCCCAAACCCACTCTGTAGAATCCCCTAAGCCCTAAGCCTTAACCCCTAAACCCTTCAGGCTAAACCCCAAACCCACTCTGTAGAATCCCCTAAGCCCTAAACCCTGAAGGCTAAACCCCAAACCCTATAAATATATATATATATATAGAATATACTAAGCCCTAAGTCCCAAACCCGAAGCCCTAAAGGAGCCCTGCAAGGTGGTATCCCTGTTTTCTCCACTTCTCTTGTGCAGGGCTTAGGGTTAAGGGCACAGTAGGGATCCACTTAGCTGAATAACGGGTTGCTGGGATACTAACCTAGAAGGTCCCTAAACCCTAAACCCTAAACCCTAAACCCTAAACTCTAAAGCTTAAACCCTAAACCCTAAACCCTAAACCCTAAACCCTAAACCCTAAACCCTAAACCCTAAACCCTAAACCCAAACCCTAAACCCAAAGAGTAGGGTGTTAGGCCCCAGGTTCCAATCTCTGAATAGTTGTTGGACACCTGAAACCCGGTTTAGGGTTTAGGGTTTAGGGTTTAGGGTTTAGGGTTTAGGGTTTAGTACTATTCGAGTACTTGGACCCTCAGGGTAATTCTCTGGTTAGCCTACTTGTTCGGTAACTGGAGCTTCAGGGGGGGGTATACTTCTTAAGGGTACTGGGCTCTCTTGAGCCCTATAGACCCTGAACCTCAAACCTATAACCTTAACCGTATAAACCCTAAGCCCTACCCCCTAAACCCTAAACCTCAAGCCTAAAACCTTTACCATCAACCCCAAACCCTACTGCCCAGGCCCTAAACCCTAGAACCCTAAACCCTAAACCATATCCCATTAACCCTAAAACCCTAAACCCTGAACCCTAAACCCTAAACCCTGAACCCTAAACCATACCACCCCTGAGCCCGAACTTGTAAACGCGGAACCCCGGCTTCGCCTGGCAGCTGTTTCAGTGCAGGGTTCCTTTGGGTTTAGTTCCATCCAGGGTCGGGAGTTTAGGGTTCGGGGTTTAGGGTTTCGGCTTTAGGGTTTCATGTTTAGGGTTTAGGGTTGTTAGGTTTTTTTTTTAAGGAGTTTAGGGGGTTTCGGTCTTATGCTTTAGGGTTTAGGGTCTGGAGTTTGGGTTTAGGCGTTTAGGGGTCTTGTGTTTTGGGTTTAGGGTCCAGGGTCTAGGTATGGTGTTGTGGCTTCCCAAAGGGTTTGGGGTTTTCGATTTTATGCGTTCAGGTATAGGGTTTATGCTGGCTATCAAATGCTCAAGCTCTACCTTAACCACGGTTTAGGGTTTTGGGTTCAGGGTTTAGGGTTTACGGAAAGCCTGCCTGTAGTCTCCGTTGTAGTTCCTTGTTCGGGTTACCTTCTAGGGTCCTAAGTATGTAATATTGGTTGTACCAAACAAAATACGTTGGAGACTAAAGGTACATTCTTAAAGTTCCATAGAAAGACATCAGAACAGGAGCCCTTAAAAGGGCTGGTGCAGGTCGACCGAAACCCTCTAAAGACATCAGAATCAAGAGCCCTTAAAAGGGGTGGTGCAGGTAAACCCCTAAACCTTCTACCTGGACCCCAAATAACCTACCTACCTGTTTAAGGATGTTTGTAAACAAATCTTGCGAAAGAGCGAGCACGTACGACGCCGCCAACGGACACGTACGACGCCGCCAAAGGAAAGAAATAGGCACTGCATTTGCATGCGACATAGCCACTTTGCCTGATCTGTCGAGCAGATTGACCCTACCAACACGTAGCGGTGTGTCCAGTTTTGATTCACCAGCCGCACTTACATGCCGATGGCCGGGCATGGGGTCGCAGTGGGGGACCGCGGAAGAAGGAACCGATCCCAGACTCGAGGCCAGACGGGTCCTACTGGCCGGGGCAGCAGCTTCACTAAACGCAGTAATCAAGAATAATCACACAGTAGCGCTATTTTATTAGCCGAATCTTACCAAAACAATGACAGTGATACTCCCGACATCCATCTGCATGTCCTAAATAAGATAGTGCGCCGCTCCTTGTCTGGCACCAGCCTGATCTCTAGACCCTATCCCTCAAGGAGTTTGAGAAAAGGGCGATCCCTAAACCCCTACACTTCCCTGAACCCTTACGCTCCCTTAGACCCTAAACTTATACCTAAAGCCGAAACCCCCTAAACCCTAAACTTTCCCTAAACCCTAAACTTTCCCTAAACCCTAAACCCTAAGCCCTAAACTCCTAAACCCTAAACCCTAAACCTTAAACTTTCCCTAGGCCGCTAAACCCTAAAACCCTAAACCCTAAACTTCCCTAAGCCGCTC